CCCCCCCCCCCCCCCTAACAGCCTCTACTCTTCCGGGAACACTTTCCACAAGATTTTGGAGTGTGTCTGTGGGAATCTGGGCCCATTTGTGAGGTGGTCAGGTACTGATATTGGATGAGATGACCCAATTCCTCCCAAAGGTGATCAGTAGGGTTGAGGTCGGGGCTCTGTGCGGGACACTCGAGTTCCTCCACACCAAGCTGGTGACACCATGTCTTTATGGATCTGGCTTTGTATACGGGGGCTTTATTTTTTGTTCTAACACCTTTCACTCTTCTGGGAAGACTCTCCACAAGGTTTAGGGGTGTGTCTATGAGAATCAGGGCCCATTTGTGAGGTCAGGTACTGATGTTGGATAAGAAGACTTGGCCATGATTGGAGGGGGTCCACATACTCTTGGCCATGTGAAGCTGTGACTAGTCCATACAAGTTACTGTTTCATCCTAGTTGAGGGAATAGCAATAGTCAGGATCATCCTGCAGGAAGATGAAGCTATTGTGCCAGGTCTGCATTGTTTCCCATAATCCTCTGTTCCTGAAAACAAGTTGCTGGTGCTACTATCACAGTTAGGATCAGTCTGTGGTTCCCGTAACAAGTGTTTCTGCTGAAGCCATAGACTGATCCTAATGTGACAGCAGCATCAGCAACTTGTTTACAGGAACGGAGGATTATGGGCAACAATGGACCTGGCACAGTAGCTTTATCCTCCCCCGCAGGACATATTTTAGTTATATGAGGGGTTTGTTTAGCTAAGCAACCCACCGACATCTCCAACCCCCCTGAGGGTTTCAGTGCCGAGATCTTTTGATCACATGACGGCTCTATGAAACTCATCACACTGATAGAAGCTTTGACTCTGCTATGCGACTAATGACATCTCTTCTCTTTCAGATAAACCTGGGAAATGCCCCCCTCCCGAGGAGCTGTCTCTAGGGGTGTGCTTTAATAAGCTGTGCAACACTGATGGGGAATGTACAGGAAGCCAGAAATGCTGCAAAACCGGCTGTGATGGCTACCAGTGCCAGATGCCAGTAGGTGAGCATTGCAGAGGGACTCCACCCTGGAACTAAATCTCTACCAGTAAAAAGAATACTTCCTTAGGTTTGAAGTAGATGTAAATCTAATCACTGACCCAAATTAACAGCAATATGGTGGCCAGTTAGAAGAATGTCCCTCCTTACATTGGTGGCCAATGGGAAGACTGCCCCCTAACATTGGTGGCCAGTTGGGGTAAATGCCCCCTAACATTGGTGGTCACTGGGAAGAATGCCCCCTAACATTGGAGGCCAGTGGGAAGAATGCCCCCTAACATTGTAGGCCAGTGGGAAGAATGCCCCCTAACATTGGTGGCCAGTTGGAAGAATGCCCCTAACATTGGTGGCCAGTTGGAAGAATGCCCCCCTTATATTGATGACCATTGGGAAGAATGCCCCCCTCATATTGGTGGCCATTGGGAAGAATGTCCTCTTCTTTTGGTGGCCAGTGAAAAGAATGCCCCCTAACATTGGTGGTCAGTGCGAAGAATGCCCCTAAGATTGGTGGCCATTGGGAAGAATGCCCCCTTTATATTGGTGGCCATTGGGAAGAATGCCCCCCTTATATTGGTGGTCAGTGGGAAGCATGCACCCCTTATATTGGTGGCCAGTGGGAAGAATGCCCCCCTTATATTGGTGGTCAGTGGGAAGAATGCCCCCCTTATATTGGTGGCCAGTGGGAAGAATGCTCCCTAAGATTGGTGGCCATTGGGAAGAATGCTCCCTAACATTGGTGGCCATTGTGAAGAATGCCCTCCTTATATTGGTGGCCAGTGGGAAGAATGCTCCCTAAGACTGGTGGCCATTGTGAAGAATGCTCCCTAACATTGGTGGCCATTGTGAAGAATGCCCCCCTCATATTGGTGGTCAGTGGGAAGCATGCCCCCCTTATATTGGTGGTCAGTGGGAAGCATGCCCCCTTTATATTGGTGGCCAGTGGGAAGAATGCTCCCTAACATTGGTGGCCAGTGGGAAGAATGCCTCCCTTGCCAACGGCTAAAAAGATCATTGGTGTCATGCCGCTGGCTCTGCCAAATGACATTGGTCCTGGAATTATACAAGAACCGCCAGATCAGCTCAAGGGTCCCCCCAGAAACCTCTTGGATGAGGATGGCTGAATGTTGTGAAGGCATTGCTCTTCTGATCCCTCCCACTCCTTCGCAACCTTTATGTCACCTCTATGTGATCACCGTTCTCTATGAAGCCTTGTTAGAGTATTGAATAATTAAGATTTAATTAAAGTGGAATCCACTGACTCACAAGGAGCTCATGATTGTCAGAAGGTGAAGCGACCCAGAAACGGAATTTCAGATTTCCCTGTAAACGTGAGCACCGGCCACACATAAGAAAGGAACATTCGATCTTGTTATAGATGCAATAAAATTAAAAAATACATTTCTTTTATGTGCAGGGTTAGGCCAAGGGTAAGGGTTACCTATAGGGTTAGCGCTAAGGTAAAGGTTACACCTATGGGGTTAGGTTAAGAGTTGCCAATAGGAATAGGGTTAGCGCTAGGGTAAGGCATAACTATAGGGTCAAGGTAAGTGCTAGGGTGAGGGTTACCTATGGGGTTAGCTTTAGGTTAAGAGTTACCTATAAGGTTAGTACTAGGGTAAAGGGTATCTATGGGGTTAGTGTTAGCACTAAGGGTTCCTTATCAGGCAGGAATTAGCATTAGGGATAGCGCTAGGGTAAGAATTACCTATAGGGTTAGCGGTAGAGTAAGGGTTACCTATAGGGTTAGGTTTAACGTTATCTATAGGGATAGGGTTAACGCTAGAGAAAGGGTTACTCATATGGTTAGTGCTAGAATAAGGGTTACCTATAGAGTCAAGGTTAGTGCTAGGGTGAAGGTTAAATATGGGGTTAGTGTTAGGTTAAGAGTTACCTATAAGGTTAGCGCTAGGGTAAGGGTTACCTATGGGGTAAGAGTTAGCAGTAAGGTAAAGATTATTACTTACAGGGTTAGCTCTAGGTTAAGGTAGGAATTAGTATTAGGGTTAGAGCTAGGGTAAGGGTTACATATAGCATTAGCGGTAGAGTAAGGGTTACTTATAGGGTTAGTGGTAGAGGGTTAGCTACAAGGTTATCTCTAAATGAAGGGTTACCTAAAACTTTAAGGTTAGTGCTATGGTAAGGGTTACCTATAGGGTTAAAGTTAATACTAGGGTGAGGGTTATTTATGGAATTAGCATTAGGTTAAGAAATACCTATAAGGTTAACGCTAGGGTAAGGGTGACCTATGGGGTTAGTGCTAGGGTAAGGGTGACCTATGGGGTTAGCGCTAGGGTAAGGGTGACCTATGGGGTTAGCCCTAGGGTAAGGGTGACTTATGGGGTTAGTGCTAGGGTAAGGGTGACCTATGGGGTTAGTGCTAGGGTAAGGGTGACCTATGGGGTTAGCGCTAGGGTAAAGGTGACTCTGGGGTTAGGGTAAGAGTTACCTACTGTATACAGTCAGCACCGGGGTAAGGATTTTCTTTATGGTAAGGGAATGCTCCACTTCCCCCCGAAAAACAAGATATTCCGTTGTAGTGTCAATCTTTGAAATATATTTGACTTCCTGATCCGATATCAGATCCGAGTTGATCTCTATTTCCTCTTCCAGACAAGCCGGGATCCTGTCCCCCTGTTGAACCTCTGAATGGGACAACCTGTGTCAAGCCCACCACTCAGTGCATATCCGACAGTAACTGCAACGACAACCAGAAATGTTGCACAGCGGCGTGTAACAGCACATCCTGCCAGATACCGGTGAGCAGCCCCATAGAGGAATAGATTTATATTTATATTGTATCAATATGGCTCTGATATATACCACAGCGCTGTACAGAGAACACTGAGCCATTCCCATCACTCTCTGCACCAGGGGAGCTGACACTCTAATGTCCCCTCCCCCACAGTCACATCAGTCTCTGTACAGAGGAGCTTACACTCTAATGTCCCCTCCCCCACAGTCACATCAGTCTCTGTACAGAGGAGCTTACACTCTAATGTCCCCTCCCCCCACAGTCACATCAGTCTCTGTACAGAGGAGCTGACACTTCAATTAAACCCCCCCCCGTGAATGCGGTGAAGAACATTCGATCATGAGCAAGGAAACACACAGTCCAGGAAACATACACAGCTCAGCGTGATGTGGGTCATACGGTAACACACATGTAGAAGTTACTGTGTTGGTATCGGCTCGCTCTCTGCACACTGATGACACATTCACCGGAGGTGAATTCTCTTGAAGGAAGTAGTTGAAATGTGAGCGCTGTGTCAGTGAGGAGAAACGATTGCAAAACCCGCGTTGTTGGCACAGTGAGAGGATTCTAGTTAATGGTTCCGTGAAATGTCATTGTTAGAGGCATCCGTGTGCTCGGAACACTTCACATGGAGAGCTTTTCTCTTCTGTGTGTTCCATATCTTATCCTCCCCACAGGAGCCTGAGACACTAGACTTGTGCTGCACACTATACCCACCATTGTGGGAGGGGCAGAGACACAAACTACTGGGAGGAAATCTCACCATTGTGGGAGGGGCAGAGACACAAACTACTGGGGGAAATCTCACCATTGTGGGAGGGGCAGCGACACAAACTACTGGAGGAAATCTCACCATTGTGGGAGGGGCAGAGACACAAACTACTGGGGGAAATCGCACTATTGTGGGAGGGGCAGAGACACAAACTACTGGGGGAAATCTCATCATTGTGGGAGGGGCAGAGACACAAACTACTGGGGGGAAAGTCATGTATAACTCCTTTAAATCGCTGTGTACATTGATGGTTGTTTTCCAGCCTTGCCTTTGTTTGTCCCGTATGTCTCCTTTTCGCTACTTATTTGCTGTGATTGGCGGGTGTCCAGTAATCGCTCTGCAGTTTCCTTCATTTTGTTGTTCGGGAGATTACAATGTTTGTGAAAAGTTGACCATCCCTCAAATGTTGGCAGCGGTGTCTGGGAAACGAGCGAGCCCTGGGCAAACAGTGCAAGCGGTGTGCGGTCACGTGACCATTTCTGCTGCGTGCAGTTCCCCTTGCTATCGGCGATCCGGAAATAAATCCGTAAGATTACACCATTATCTGAAGGGATCCCCGGATCCTTAAAGTGCACCTGTCACACACCTGGCCAATCCGGTCCCAGAATGTGGTAAAATATACATAAGGGGACATTTCCTATAACGAAAGTTGCAAGGGTTTAACCTTCCTATTGGTCGATGAGGTTGCCGTAGGGGAACATGGAGCCAGCTTCTCGTGCAATCAGGAAGCTGGCCGGCGATTATTGTCCTGCCTCCCAACTTCCTGATTGGCCGGGAAGCCAGCTCAATGCTGATTAGCCGGGAAGCCGGCTTCCCAGACAATCAGCGTCGAGCCTGCCATACAGCCGATCAGGAAGCTCATATGGTCATTACTTGCCGCCCTGGCTTCCTGAATGGCCAGGAAACTGGCTCGATGCTGATTGGTTGGGAAGCCGATTTCCCAGCCAAGCACAATCAAGCTGGCCAGACAACATGGAGCCAGCTTCTTGGCCAATCAGATTGCTTGGGAAGCCGGCTCCATGCCAGTAGAAGCACCGGTATCGGTGGATCCCTAGGATATAGTGTGGGGTATAGTATGGTGTATAATATGGGGGTACAGTATCGTGGTACAGTATGGGGGTATAGTATGGTACAGTGTGGTGTATAATATGGGGGTATAGTACGGGGTGAAGTATGGTGGTATAGTACGG